TCAAACAAAGAAAACTAAATTAATTGGGAAATCGAAATAAATATGTCATGGTACACAGCAAAATAACCAAGAGTTATAGGCGTGATCCTAAGAGTAGGTTGATTATTAATTCTCTTGGAAAATAGTATCTTAATCTGAATCTTAATCTATTACTGAAAACGTCAGACTGTTTTAACGAATATCTGCTATTTTTGAATTGCCTTGAAAATCCTTCGATCGAAGCCATATTGGTATTCAAATTTCGTCACAGTTTAAGCCTCGAAGCGGAACTGCGGCACTTCCATAATTCGCCAAAAGCCGCTCAGACAGGTTTTCACAGCAAAATGGGGGTGCTGTTGCAATAGTACGAACCGTTGGGCAAATGTTCAACGAGTTATAAAACCGAAACTCGAGGAATACCCCCAAAAGCGAACGAAAACTTTACTGCAGGGCCAAAATATGAAAAGTTTTCCTTCAAACAGCCACGCCCCTGAAAGGCGATGGTATGCACGTGTGCATGTGTATGTGTGGGGGCGGGAAATCTGCCTTTTTGTGATTAGCATAAAACTGCCAAAAAGTCTGAGTCTGTCGCTGGCTTTGGTTGAAATCCGACTCACACACTTGCAGAAATATTACATTTCTTTTTTAAAAAGGTATATTTTATTTTTAACAGCTAAATTGACTTGCACTAAACCAGTACTTAACTGTTTAATTTAACCGCAAAGCTTCTTTAGATCGAAGTTACAAATAACAAAGACCCTATATATATTCCATTTTCATTTTATTCTTAACAATAAAATGACTTGCTCTTAACCAGCACTTAACCACTGGCTTAACCTCTAAACTTAAAAATATGAAGCCAATGATTTCTTTGATAAAAACGCTCGTTTCTAGATCTGTTGGTAATACGATTTGTTTATTAAACAGGATAATTTTTAATAAATCTTTTATTTTCTGCCAGTGCACTCGAAGCCAATAAACATTTATACTTGCACTCTGCTCCCAAAGACACCCACAGAGCTCAGCTCGGCTGCTAAATACCTCAAAAAATATTGGCAGTAGCAGGGCCAGTCCGCTCCCAACGAAAACTGACCGGAAAGTCAGACCGGCTGCATCCACAATGTGCCCAATGGCCCGGACTTGGGACTCCGGACAAGAGCTCCGGACTCCGAACTCCGAACTCCGTACTCCGGACTCCTGACTCCAACCTCTCCACTCGGATTTCGACTTGTTTGCATGTGTTGCGCACTTGCTGTGAGGCTTACCTTGCACATCCGCACTCACACATGGGTGTGGTATTTTTTTTGGTGGAAATAGAGGAAAAAGGGTTTTGGGCATTCGTATTTGGCAAGCTAAACGAGTTTAGTTGGCCAAACATTATCATAACTTGGTCGTTTGCAAGCCGCAATGGTGTAATCGTTTCATTTTTAAAACGTTTTCGGCATTTTTACGGTACTTTCCCAAAATGGCTGCCTTTCCGTTCATTATTTTGATGTCCGGTTGGGCGGGAGAGAGTGGAAAGCCCCCGCAAACTACTGCTGCCTATTTAAAATGCAATGTGTGTGGGGCTCACAAGGCAACGCTGCATACCGCATAATAATAAACTTTCACTTTTGGCAGGCTTACTCAACTGTAGTCTGCCTTTTTTCAGCTTTATTCGACAGCAATTTGAGCGGCAAATGATTGCTTGCCTCTCTGGGGAGTAAAAAAGTTAAGTAAAACAAGGGCGGTTAAGTATCTGTGGGTGGCTTTAACCCCTTTGCAAAGGAGGGTCAACGCCGGCCGCAGGTGTCGGCATATAATTAATTTTATGCATAATCAAGCAAAGTGAAATAAAAACGCCTATTAATTATAGTTTTTGCTGCCAGCCCTAAATAACTTTATTCGTGTTCGGCGTTCGGTGTTCGCTGCTCGGTGTATGTGTGTGTGGAAAGCGGGGAAATTAATTCAATGCGCTTAAATTTCACGTCTATTAGTCTCCGGAGACCTACGCCATTTTCTAATTTCCATACTGCTGCTGCTGTTTTTGGCATTTCGGCATTTGGGCCCTCCAACGCCACTCGCCGGGCAATTAATTTAGAATTTTAATACCCAAAGTCGCCGCTGCTGGCTAATTGTGGGCTGCAGAGTGACCCTGGCCTGGTGGGACCTTCGACTACACTACACCGATGAAAAGGGCGATATTTTAGTTATGAGTTCATTATGTATTTTATACTTTTCTATTCATTTTGAAAGCGATGAAATTCCGGCACAAGCTCGCCGTATTGGGGTGGGACCTTCGATAACCATTCGCCTTTCAACAAACCAACCACTGTTTCGCACAGTGCACGTACCACTCCATAAAGATCGATTCTTACTTTAAAAGGGCGGCTCGAATTCCACCTGCATCCGGGGAAAACCAAGGGTTAAGCGACCTTCGGTGGCTGAACATTAGGTGGCAGCTTTGGCGGGGCCTGAGAAACACCTGCCCGAACGGAAGCGGAAACTGTCAAAGGCACAACAAACAAACGCAGCGATGAAAAAACGCCGAGAGCATGGGGGAGTGGTGGCAGGCAAAAAAAAAAGAAAAAGAAAAAACCATTAGACGACACAATTTACTAGGTCAGCAGCAAAGGATGGCAGGTGGCAGGGCAATAAAAACAAAAGTGCCAACTGGCATGAGCCAAGTGGAAAGGCAAGGAAAATGGCAAGTGCCAGAGACTCGAACTTGTGTGCAAACAGTTTAAAGTGCGACGATGGTGGCAAGTAATAAGACAAAGTGGAAATTTAATCAACAATAAACCTGAAACTGTTAAATGGGCAAACACATAGGCCCACGAAAATTGAGACAATGAAAGCCCGTTATTTATGCGGTGGCCGGGCTAATTACGAAAATAAAACATGATTTATGGCCCAAACGAGCCAAATGATGTGTGTCTGTGGGTGGAGTTTTGGGAAAAGCTAGATTGAGCGGAAGCAAGAAGAGGAAATGTATGGAACGGCAAACAAAGGGCCTTCTTCCTCATAGAGAGGTCTTCAAGTTGTGGGCTATTATTTGTGGATAATTGGTATGCGAGTCGCTCGCCAAATGAGTTGACAAGTTGCGAATGATAGTCCTGAGATGAGATGGCCCCAAGTCAATGGCTCGGAAACAAACTGCAGGCAAATCAATCAGGCAAACACCCAAACAAAGGAAAAGGAAAAGAACTCGGGGCCGAGCTCATCATTATGGCTCATTAGCAAAGCAATTTTAGCGGGTGTGTGTAGTAAATGTTCTGAGGCTCCCGTTTTCGCTTTTCTCGCATTTTCCCTTTGCGGCTTACTCGCATATTGAATGCTGCTAATTTGGCCATAAGCCGCTCAAGGCCCGGACCTCGTGCATAAAGCCAAATCTCTCAGTGTGTCAACGTCGACAAAACTATGCCGCCCACTTGGCCATCCCCCTTATAAGACTTAGCGAAGCCAAAGCCAACTGCTTATTGGTCGCATGTACAAGATTGTGGGTCGAAAATGGGAAAGGGCCAGGAAAAGTGCCGGAGTTGCGCAATTTGGTACGACTGTTTCGAACTAGTTCATTCTGATAATTGACAACACAAATCAGAATGGGGTTATATACATAGGATTGGGGTTATCTCAATATAAGATTTTAAATGATATATGTTTTTTGTGATAAAATGGTAAATGTAATAATGAGAAGTTAATGTTAAAGATTTAATTTCTTTAAAAATTATATGGAGCTTCATTAAAACTTGTTGCAATTCCTAAAATTTGTTGGATCGGTGATGTTTTCTATTATTCCACAATGAAATTTGTGCATGTATGATACCACATGGTAACACATTTAGGATACAGCAGGACATGCAAGGGATTGGGAATGGCGTAATGGGGCTGCGGTTTCCAGGATCTCGTGTGTCCATTATTCGGTGGAGAAGAAGGACTCCTGGTACCCACGCACAAGCTGGCTTACGGACAAACATCGCCGTCGAGGCTTGTTGATAGCCTTTATTGTCTGCAACTGCTGCGACTCTTAATGTCAACGATGTTCGGTGTGGAAAAGGGGTTGCCAACTCGGGTTGGGGGCCTGGCCTCCAAGGGGAGGGGGTCCGGCTTGTTGACGTTGGCAACCGCAGCAACAAATGTGCATAGAGTCAGCAGCTGGGGGTGGCTGCAAGGAGGCGGGCGGGATAAGCAAATGCAACAGCAACAGACTGCTGGCTCTCATTATGTGTAATGGCTGTTGCAACATCATCAACGGCCAGTAAAAAACAACAAAGGCGGCACAACAGCAGCAACAACGACAACAACTGCTGTCAGGGAGTCCGAAATGACAACAATGCGCCAAAAAGGAGGAAGTCATGAATGCAATCTACCTGCACGTTGCCGCCCGATTCCGAAAGGAATGAAAAGTCAGCGGAAAGCAAAGGAAAAGCAGAGGAAAAGCTGCTGCCAGCAGTTACTTACTGCCGCTGGCAGCAGCAGTGGCAACAACAAAGGCCGGCAACGAATACCCGTAATGGGAAATATGATCCAGAGTTGCAAGACATGGCTGCGAAAGGATCTCGGATGAATGTCACAACTTTTGCTCGTCCCCGAGCTCATTATACGAGACATACACTGAAAGGAAATGTTTCTGTGTTTTTAATAAAAATCTATAAATAATATAAAGCGAATTCTTAGATCTTATATCTTTAGCTCGCGGGTCTCGTTTATTTATTTAAGCTAACAACTCTGTAGCACTGAAAATATCTCAAACGTGAATTCTTGAGTCTTCTACTCTAAGCTCGTTGTTTATACAGGTTTACCTAAGATTATAACACCCTAACTAGGAGAGTAAATCTAATCCTTATGCCTCTTTAGTTTCCAACTCCCCAGCTTCCTTACTTTGTAATATTATATACTTGGGTCGAAACAAACCTAATTTGTAAGCCAACCGATAAGACCTTGAGTTGGCCGAAGCACTTTATTTTAAGATAGTTTCCGTAATAGCTTATGGATAAGAGAAAAACTAATCGATAGCTTCTCCCCTTCTTTTACAATTCCAGCATGGACTTCACGTGTCTGTTCTGCTGCAGCCTGGCCTTCGTCCTATATCTGAACACCCTGAACGCTGGCTTCGTCTACGACGACAGGTAAGAGTCATTATGCCTGAGAAATCGGGGAGGAAAACGTTCAAGCTTCCAGGCAAATTTATTAAAGTTGCGATAGCATACCCTGAATTGCGTTACATTACAAAAAACTAGGGGGAGGAAGAGGGAAAGTGGGCGGGGGAAAGTTGCCTGCGGCATGCCTTGATGCTGCAATGGAATTCCGGTGGTGCTTAAAATCGAATTTCAGCCCACACACACACACGCACAGAGAGACCAGGCTGCTCCACCGACTTTATGCGGCATTAGAGTGGCATTTGTTTATGTGAACCACTGGCGGTGGGACAGGTGGAAAGGCGGGACAGGCGGCTTTGGGGTGGTTCGGTGGCGCCTCATCGGCCTTTGCCATGATATACGAGCTGCTGGCACCGCCGTCGCCGTTGTCACGAACACCCGGCCAAAATCCTACAAAAGTCCGCCTGCCGTGCGTGCAGAGAGTGCACAGGTGGTGGAGTAGAAATACTGGAGGAGCACATGGACGAGCAGGGGCTCGAGCGGAGCAGGACTCCCGCCAAAGACCAAAATGCAAGTCCTGGTACGAGGCAAAGTGTGTTGGTGTGGGAAAAGCCAACAGGATACCACTCGATGATGTTGGCAATGTAGTAGAAGTCGTTCTCAGAATGCTAGCTGCCTCTATTCTCATGCACTGGGAACAATAAAAAAGGAAAACAAGTCTGATTACAAATAAATACACTAAGTTATGAAGTTAAAATTAAACTTGAATTCTGTACGCGTCTGTCTTACATTGAAAGATTCGAAAAGTAAAGGCCTTAAACTCTGTAGTCGATGTAAAACACGAATTCTTTAGAAGAAAAGTGGCAGGTAGAAAACTTTTTATATTTTTAAGGGGACTTGGGGTTTTTGAGTAGTGCATTTCCAGATGCCTTGTGTGCGGATGCCGATGATGCCATCAATGACAACATCGGGACGCAGTCCGTTTGGCTTTACCTTGGCTCGACTTCGGCACAAAATGTGCAAAATAAATGCATGGGCAGTTGTGGGTAAAAGCCTTAATGACCGAACAAAAGTTGCTGGGCAAAAGACTTTCACTTCAGCTTTTTTTTTCACTTTGCAAAAAGGACCCGCAAAAGTTCCTACTTTAAGTTGTGCGAGTTCGCTTTTAATTGTAGTAATTGAACTTTAAGATTGGAAAATCGCGAAGTGCTGAAGAAGAATGTATCCTAAAAAGCATAGATGACATTTTTTGACTAAAGAACTTATTCCTCAAGGCAAGCACAGAAGAGCGTTTATTTGACCGGATATTGTCTGTTGGTCTGTACTGAGTTCCTTAAATCTCCTTTTCCTTTGCAGACGCGCCATCCTGGCGAATGCGGATGTCGCGGGCGGAACTCCCTGGCAGCGGAGCTTCTCGAACGACTTCTGGGGCACTCCGCTGACGGACAGCGGATCCCACGGCTCGTGGCGACCGCTGTGCGTGCTCAGCTTCCGGCTGAACTATCTCATCGGCGGGGGATTTGCGCCGTGGGGCTTCCACCTGGTCAACAATCTGCTCCATTGTGTGGCCACCGCCTTGGTGGTGCGAGTGGCCCGAACGCTTCTGGCCTCCGTGTGGGCGGTTCTGGCCGCCGGCGCCCTCTTCGCCGCCCACCCGATTCACACGGAAGCGGTGGCCGGAGTGGTGGGTAGGGCGGACGTGGCCGCCTGCGTCTGCTACCTGCTCACGTACCTCAGCTACCTGCGACACATGAGGTGGCGCGAGTCCGGGGATCCGCGCCAGTGGCTGGCCCTGGGAGCCACCTTGCTCCTGGCCCTGGCCGGTCTGCTCTGCAAGGAGACAGCCATCACGGCGCTCCTGGTCTGCGCTCTTTTTGACGTGATGCGCGGACTCAGCGGAACGGTGGACAAGGTGAGTTACCATTTTTATTTTTAGTAGTATCAGAAGCGACTTTACTAGTTCCATTGTTTATATAATTTTTTCCATATAAATGCATGTGTTTAATGAGTTTCCTAAATTGGTGATTCTTCTTCTACAGCAACGCCTACGATCCGTGTGCATAGTGATTGGAGCTCTGTGCTGCGGGGCTTACTGCCGCCTGGTAATTGTTCCAGGACCGCAGACGGCCTTCTCCAGTGCGGACAACCCGATCGCGAGGACTCCCTCCGCCTGGACGAGATTGCTGACCTTCCTCTACCTGCCCGTCTTCAATCTGCGCCTGCTGCTCCAGCCGAATGTGCTGAGTTTCGACTGGGGCATGGATGCCCTGCCCAGGGTCACTTCTCTGTGGGATCGCCGTAATGCCCAGTCAGGCTGTTTCTACTCGGTTTTGGTGGGCGTGGCGTGGCGTAGCTGTAGGCAACTGCTAAGCGGGCCAAGCAAGGAGGTTACCACCAGTGGAGTGTCCTCCTTTCCGCAGTACCACATCCAAAAGGTGGCCAGTCGCAAATCCCGCTCCAAGCGCAAGCGAATGGCCAACAATAGCAGCAAGTACCAAGCCTTTGAGGCAGCCTATCACCATCAGCAGGATGGATCGCTTCCATGTCGCGATTGCAATAACAATAATAGCAGTGGCTATGTCTACGAGGGGAGTTCCCCCGTTTCGAACCAAACCCCAACCCAAGGCCCTCACCTCGTGTCTTCCGCCTTCCGCGGCTCCCGCAGCAGCAGCAGTTGCAGCAATAGCACAAATAGCTCCAGTTCCAGCTCGAGTTCCTCCTCCAGTTCGAGTTCTAGTAGCTCCAGTTCGAGTGGCAGCTTTCGGTGCTCCTCAAAAGATTACGTGCTGGAGGGGATGTCACCGGGAAATCGGCATGCCTGCGTGCTCATCATGTCGCTTAGCTTCCTGGCCCTGCCCTTCCTGCCTGCCAGCAATCTTCTGTTCTACGTGGGATTTGTAGTCGCGGAACGACTTCTATACCTTCCGAGCGTGGGATTTTGTCTACTGGTGGGCTATGGGGTCTCAAAACTGATGGCCAGCAATCAGAGAACCCGCATTACCCTACTACTGAGCTTCAGTGTCCTTTTGGCCGCCATGAGCCTGCGGACCTTGAGAAGGAATGCCGATTGGCGGGACGAGGAGAGCCTGTACCGCAGCGCCATTGCCATCAATCCGCCAAAGGGTAAGTGCTCCTACTAAATCCCTTCCAGCCAAATTCACAGCTAATTTCATTTGGCTTTTTAGCGTTGGGCAATCTGGGCAGCGTACTCAGCTCGCAGGGGCGATATGAGGAGGCCAAACAGGTCCTGCAGGAGGCCATTCGGTACAGGCCCAACATGGCGGATGTGCACTTTAATCTGTGAGTAACCAATAACACATAGCTTGGAGCTTTTAGCGACCATTTTGTGAACAGTTAGAGTGCCTTTTTATAGGGTGGGTTGAAATAGGTCTTTTTTGGGAAGGTAGTGGCATTTGGTAGATAAGCATTCCTGTTTTATAATTATTATTTGATTTAAAACTTTAAAATAAAACTTAGAAGTCATACCTGTATTAAAGTAGTGTAAAGCGTCTTTCTCGATTCACATAAAAGTGTTAGGGTGTTTTTTTTGCTAAAGTGTAAACCGGAACTGGCCTCATTATGTTGCCCACCCACATGTGACAGGCAAAAGCGATGCGATAAATGGCAGCCATTTTCATTATCTTTCCATGCGTTCGCCACCCACAGCAGGCACTATGTCTCCAGCCCCCTGAAAACCCTTCGGTTGGGTGCGCATTTAGCGCGGCCATTTTTTGCAGCGCAGCATCCCAGTTATGAGACTCCGTCCCCGAGATGGCAATACAATGCCGAACAAGCTGTCAAATGAAGCCCATTTCCCTTTTTCCCTTTCGCGCTACCCGAGACACGCACCAATCCTCCAAGTCGCCATGCGACTGCATCCTTCGTCTCGTTTTCCCATTTATATCCTGCTCAGGGCATTTGCGTGCCGCTGCAGAAACTATGCGCATTTCGTGATGCATGCACTGGGAGAAAGGAAAGAGGGTGTTTTAGGATGGATATATTAGCTGCAAAAGGTTTTAGGTACAGCGATACAAAGTTATCATAAGATATTATGATCAAATTCTTTGCGAATTTAACATTGTAATGACAATAATTAACATAAAACGGTTCCGGATTCGAAGAATTTAAACTTATTGAAAAATAAACATGATACGTAAATGTAAATATAATTTCTATGAACTTTAAATTGACCTTGATGTATATTAAGTTTAATATGTTGTTTCTTGTGTACCATCCAGGATGCTCGACAAAAGTCCTTAGCTTTCACACTCTCTCCGTCCGATTGTCCGTCCTTCCGTCCCTCTGTCAACGTCTGACAAAGTCTGTAAGCGTGCTCTGTTCTCCTCAGATCCCCCTGTTTGGTATAGTACTCTGTGTTTTGTCTGTTGTCTGTTCGCATTGCATTTTTGCTCATTGCGCATATTTCACAGCAGCGACGCGATGCGACATAAAACGGGACAGAACAGAAGGAAAAGCCAGCAGCAGGAGTGGAAAAGCGGAAATACAAAACACAAAGCTGGGAAAAAAGCGAGCGAGGAAAGAAAAGTGAGCGCGGAGTTGCGCTTTGAATATTCAGTGCGTCATTTCGGGTTTTCCTTTTTACCGCCTGTCTGTCAACGTCAGGCGGCTTGTCGCAAGCCAGATTATTGCTTGTACTAACCCCGATTGCCAACTCCTTTCGCCCAGGCTAATGCCACGGTCCTCAAGTCAATGGTTCAGAACCAGGTCACAACTGCTAAGGCTGCCATTATGTGTGTCCTGTGCTCTGTATCCTGTGTGGAAACCCTTCAACAGGCTGCCTGCAGAGCGAACCGAAGCGCTAATCGAAAATCAATGTTGGCTGCCTCAACCGCAGCAGCCAGTTTCCCCCAGTTTTCGCAGCAATCCTGCGGATATACATCCCCGTACATACATTATTTACTGCGATCAAATCATCAATAGCAATGCTCGCGGCGCTGTCGCTTGCTTGACTGATTGCCATCTCCCCAAAGTCCCGAGTCCCCACACATTCCCACATGTCCTCCAGAACCGGCAAACACCGATACCAGCAAATCACTGAGCTGTATAATTTGATTTTTTACTTTACCCGACGTCAAACATTCGTGATTTTATTGTTGGTTTGGTCTTGTTGCTGCACTTGTTGTGGTTCGCATTCGAATGAGAAAAGTGAAAAGGATTCTCTGTGCTTTCCTTTCACCCTCGGATTGGTTGCGAAAAGTGCAAGGTAGTTGCTGCTTTAAGAGCCAGCTGCTTGGCAGTAGCAAACTAATTACATAAATCCAAGTGCACCTAAGGAAAAGGTGGTGAAAATAGTGTATAAGTTTTGTATGCATATACTGAACTTAAAGACGAACTATTTAATAACTCAGCGAACTTACAGTAGAGTTGCCTCTTAAACTAAATATTTCCAGAGGTTAAAGCCTGTTATAAAATATTACAATTTTGTTCAGTGAAATAGTAGTTGCTCGCCTGAGTAGCAACCCTTCAACCCCCCAGGCACTCGACTTGTCAGGCCCCGGGGAATCCAAAAGGGGCCAGTCTCTCCGATTTAGGCGCTCTAATTAGACCATGAGGGCCGGACAAGTTCAGTCTATTAATGTCAACACTTTCACTCTCGCTTCAGGGGCATCCTGCACCAGAATCAGCAGGTCTATCCCGCAGCTGTCGAGTGCTTTCAGCGCGCCATCAAGTTTCGACCAAATCTGGCAGGTGAGTTTTCGAGTTTGTCCCTTTGGCAGTGGCGTGGCTTACTGATGATATTACCCACCCTGTAGTGGCCTACCTCAACCTGGGCATATCATTCATAGCGCTGGGAAAACGCCAGCAGGCCATTGAAATTCTGCAGGCGGGCTCCAATTTGGATGGGGCGTCGGTTCGAGATCGAGGGGCCCATGATCAGGCCCGCAGCTCGGCCTACTTGCAGTTGGGCGCCCTCTACGTGGAGCAGGGAAAACTCCAGCGAGCTCTGGCCATCTATCGGGAGGCCCTGTCCTCGCTGCCAGGGTTGCCGCAGCAGCGGGAGGTCCTTTACCAGCGAATCGGGGATGTCCTTGGCCGCCTGCAGCAGTGGGACGAAGCGGAGCGGCACCATCGAGCAGCCCTTGAACTGCAGCCCAACCAGGTGGCCGCACATCTCTCCTATGGCATCACACTGGCCAGAAATGTAGGTGTACCATCTATGAGCTACGAACTACTGGCGAGTATTTCCAACCTCGTATCCTTTATCCTTGCAGAGCAGCCGCGCCTCGGAGGCAGAGATGTGGTTCAAGCGAGCCCTGCAACTGGCGCCCGAGCAGGCCAGCGTCTACCATCATTATGGTGAGCACTGAATATTTTATAGAATTTATAATATTTGAAAGCACAATATTAACCAAGAGTTTAGGCACAAAAGTAACGTCTAGTTGTCATTTGCCATTATACTTTTAAATAAGTATTTCCAACAATAATCGCATTCTTGGTCATATAACAAGTCATTTAAAAATAAACATATTTCTGAAGAATTCGCGGCTTTTTTTATTTACCCTTCTGACCAAAGGATCGGACTAACATTTTATATAACCATGATATATTAGCTTTAATTTTAAATTCAGGCATTAATTGCTTTCACCCCTATTTTTAGCCGAATTCCTGTCGCTGCAGTCGCGACATCATGAGTCCGCTATCTACCATAGGAGAGCCGCTGAATTGGCGCCCAACGACTATGCCCTGGTGGTGGCAGCTGCCACCGCTATGCGACTGTTGGACAGGAAAGTGGAGGCGGAGCTTTGGTACAGAAAGGTGAGTCTACTGATCAAAAAAACACTTCCCAAACGAACTGTTTTTTAAGCCAAATGTTTGTACATTCCAGGCTGTGGCTCTGCGACCGGACGATGCCCATGCTCACACCAATCTGGGCGCCATTCTGCATCTGCTGGGACGGACGAATCATGCGGCTGCCAGTTATAAGGCGGCCCTGCGACTTCAGCCCGGAGATGCCATCACGCTGGGCAATCTGGCCAAGCTGGGCGTTACGAATGTCTAGCAATTGTAGTGGTCACTATAGCCAACCAGCTAATGATTAAGTTAATAAGCCACAGAGCAGAGATATTTTTATATAGGAAACCGGGGCTGAACAAGGCGTTAGATAACTCTACAGAATTTATACAAAGGACTTCGATACATATGTATATCATTTAGCAGCTGGCAGCCGTGTAAATATCCAAGCAGCGACCAAAGAATGTCACAAAATATAGATAGAGATACCGAGATACCGAAACGGAGCAGACAAAGATTGAGCTACAGATACAGATGGAATCAGTGGAGAAGCGACAGAGAGAACAATAATTAAAATATCTAACTGTTAAGGGAACGAGTTACTGTACAGCTATAGAAGCAGGTTGGATCCGTGGGAACGATGATTGGGTAACTACTCGTAATGTGCTTAAAGATATCCGTGTAAATTACTGTAAATATGAGGCACCCGCACGGCAAGTGCTTGGGTCATATTATTGACTATATATATACGATATGACTTGGCTTCTCGAGATTGTTTTGTCCGTTGTGTGTACATTTTAGTTAAGCAAATAAAGATACCAATAAAGAAATGTATGGATTGTATAAAGATATGGCAAGGAGAATATATATAATAAAACCAAATGAATTGAAGTGAAATGATTGAAGTGAAGATTTTACTGGGCTTGGGAGGTGTAAGTTATATAAATTCCGGAGGAGTCATAACCCGTAAGCCTGCTCAGTGGCACATTCCGTCCATAATTACAACCTCTTTGGCCAATGCACTCAAGCTAAGCTCCACTTGCAGGACATTTAAGCAGCCAAGGGAAATATTTTCAGTGCTCAACGGCTTAGATCCAACTTCGCCCCGCTGCATCCCATGAGCCCAAGTACAAACACAATCAATGTCAGAATTTTCGACCCAAGTCGAAGACGAAGACGGCAAGGGCGCCACTTAAGCCGTGGGCAACCACAACAGGAAGTAAGGCGCAGTGTCTTCTGGCAAGCAAATCGCAGGATTATGAATTACAATATACCCGAGTGCTCCTTGCTGCAGTCATAATATTGCCACAGCTAATGCCACGTCTAAATGGCCGGCTTGGCAAGCAGTCCGGATTCGAATGCCTCCGGCCCGCCCTGCGAGATGCTGCCGACCGATAAAGGTGATGACTTTTGACATCCGGGAAGAGCAAGTGCACTTCAGAGAGCACCACCAATTGGTTTGGCAAGTCGAGTGGCGGCTTGTTGCCGCTGGCGGGCGCAGAACGTGCCCAAGAGCGAATAAATGAATGTATCAGACAGTCGGAGTCACTTTGTCCGTCACCCAGTCAGTTGCCCGTCAAACCGTCAACCCGTCACTCCTGTGGGTAACGAGGACGAAGCATCCTCCTCCAAAAGAGTGTCATGTTGCCGGAGCCACTTTGTTGCAGGGGGACGACTACTACTGCCACTAAATGCGCTCGTTCCTGAGAGCTGCTCACTAATTGCAGACGCCTCCGACTGCTCCAGTTCCCTCCTCCTCAGTTCCTCCTTCTCCAGTCAGCACCTATCATCTGGGCTTCTTACAAAGTGACTCGTTAGCTTTGTGGGCCAGCCACTGGGTGGCAAGAACTGGCGTTCAGTGCGCTAATTACTGACAGCCTCGGCGGCGAGTGCTCGGATTTATGACAAGACATCGTCAGCGTCGATGGCTCCACTGGCCACTTAGGCCAGAGAATGAACCAGATCCCAGGCATTGCCGGTTGGGTTACGTCTGAGTGGGCATCGACCAGACTGCTTAAGCAGTGACCAGTTCCCGACAAGTTCCTACCCTGCATGGGCACCTTTCAAAAAACCTTTCTATTTATCCAACTTGTACTTTTTTTTAATAAAAATAAATAAAGAAAAAATTAAAGAGACTGTTAGGATCAGGATCTAATGAGCTAAGCTGAGTAGTATAGAAATGCGGGTTGGGGGACATATATCTCCAAGTTTTCATTAATCGGATGTTATTAAAAATGAATCATTTTAGTTCTAAAAACCAATAGTTTGTATCTGATATTTCAGTAAATCCTCTTTTTCTCTAAATGTCCCTCCTTAATATAGCTACAGGGTAATTAAAGGCTTTGCCGGACAATGGCTTGGACCTGTTTTATGGAGAAAAAGGCTGCTTAGGATCTCAGGAGTGTGGGCTGCTGAGGGCGAAAAGGACAGAGGGACCCCACCTGCCAAGTGCAGTAACAGACGCAGCTAATTCGAGCTAATTATGGCCTGGGGCTGTGTGAACTGAAGACGACAGCCGACAAAAAAACTTACACAATGTTTGATATGTGTAAAGCTGGGGGAGTGGTCATGCCGCTCCCACTGGACAACAAAAGCAAAGTCGCTTTGGTATTTGTATGTTTTAATTGTGGCTTACGTTTGATTTGGCCAAAGGGCAAATGCTCACAAAACACAACGGCCATGACAGGCGCAAAAAACAAAGGCAAACAAACATACGGGTGGTGGTGGTGTTGCGAGGAGGAGGAGCACTTTTATTTACAAGTGGGTGATGGCAGATCCGAAATCATTTGTTATTTGCACATTTGCCAAAAGTAGGAAAAACTTTGCCGGCCGTTCTAGCTTCTAAATCGTTTTTGATGAGGGTCGCCATGGGAATACAGGATAGGATAGGCAGAGGGTGGCTTTGGGGGGTCAGGCGAGGAAGGTCAGGGGTTCGCAGGGAGACCTGCAAATGCTCCCGCCTGACCACTTCGGTCAACTCCAAAAGTTTAACTATTGTGGGGAGCGGACAATGCTGGTGCAGCCCAAGGCCAGAGTTTCAGTAGTGGCTCATACAGCATGTGTGCTCCAAGTTGGGAAGTTTTCACACAAATTTACTCTACAAAAGATATGTGCATATGAGAATTCCTCTAAATGGCTATATTATGACTGGCACCTATTGGAATCTAATTCGAGAAAAATACTGGTGTACTTACTTGATTATAAAAGGCATATTCCAAATGCCTTATTTTTTTTTTAAACCTGGAAACGTTATCTTTACAATACCCTAGGCCATCTCTACAGATACTTAAATAATTCTCATTTTCTGCCCAGTTTTGAAATACGAGACAATTGCGACTTTTGATGTGCAGCTTGTGCAAAGGGAAATGGGCTAATTAGCGAAAGTACGCAGCACTTTCGTAAGCCTCGAATCTGGGCCCCCGCACCGCGAAAACTTGCACTTGACATGCTGGAAAAACGTGACAACGTCAACACTCTGGCGCTCGCATAATAATCATATTGCAATATAATGGCGTGAAACAGCAACATCTGAGATACACAGCAACAGCAAAAGCAAAAGCAACAGCAGCAGCAGCAGAAACAGGGACAAAAAGGACGCCACTCGCAGGACTGAAAAATGTCTGCGACAGTTGACAGTTGAAGCTGGCGATGTCAGTTTTTTACTCTTTTGCCGCTTTTTGTAATTGCGCAAAAATAAACTCCCCCGGCTTGTGAGCCAAAAATTTCCGAATCTGTTGCATAATTTCAGCTTTTTCAGCTTTTTTCAGCTTTTTTGCTGTGTGGCTTTTGCGCGCGCGTGTTCAAGTGTTGACATCGCCAGCAGAAAAAGCAGGAAAACTACGACAATTGCAATTGCAGCAGCAATTTATGGCCAAGAAGCAGGACAAGATGAGGGTCGTCTGTCACTGGATGTACATTGCACTATTCCAGCTGCACTTTGCAACTACACAGCAACTACAGCCGGAATTATAATATGCAAATTTCATGTGTGGGTTTTGTAATTGTTCCACAATTACCCTGCGCAGCAACTGTCCTGTCTTAATTAAAGAACCGAGAAACTTGTTGTGGAAATTATTTTTCCATGCCTGCCAGCTGTATGGGCAAACAATTAAAAATCAAAATGCCAAATTACACTTGTACATTCACCAAATTACACAGCACACACGGACACACGTCCTTGCACACCCGAATGTGTGTGTGTGGAGCGCACAAGGAGCAAAATATAGAGACATCAGTAAACTAAGCTGACAGTAAAAAGTCCGTCCAAGCGTGTAATTAGAAATTATATCCAATTGCCCTGCGGCCACTCGAGCATCGGGCGAGCGAATGGACGGCCAGGAAAGGAAGGCCACACCAGCTACCACCTCCCACTGCCACCCCATTCGCCCACTGTGCCGCCCACTCCACCCACTCCCGCCCACAGCAGCCAAATCCTCACGATTTTCGGTTTTTCGAGACAGCCACAATGCCTGCGCGCCTGTGGATGCCGCTGGATCTGGATTTGGATCTGCCTAAGAGATGGCAGCGTGAGTGGGAACGAACCTACTAAAATGGGCTACCTGTATTTTCAATGGGATATAAGAAGTAAAACCTAATGGATTTCGGCAATTTTCTGCAGAATATAAGGGCCTAAAGTATTTAATACTTTACTGATCTTGATTAACTTTAGACATTTTAATCATGCTATACGTTTGAAGAAGTGTACAACCCTTCTAATAATAATTAGTATCTTACAACTTAACTTTATCAAAATAAATATTTAACATCTTATAAGAAATATTTGTTGGTTGATTTCTTTCTGCTTAGTCTGGTCAAAAGCATATAAGCGTATAAATATTGGTCTTATCCCCAGAGAAAAGATATGGAACCCAGAGCCCGTCACGCCCTCATCTCGTATCCATGTGTGCGTGACTTTGCTCGATTTAGCGCAGCCATTGTACTATGGAACCAGTAAAGATATTGATTTTAAACCTTTTTTAACTTTGGTTAATAATCCCCTAATGTTAAATCGTTCGGTACGGACCACTTTATCCCAGATATTTGTTGATGCTTTTGAAAATGATACCGTACCATTAATTAAAAATTCTTCCATACTTTCGTTGGACTCAGCTGGTTTTAATTTTACCCCTTTTATTATAGTTATTCAGTTCATTTTTGTTAGAAATTTTTAGAAAATGATTTAGGCATTGACCCCATTGTGCGTGTGTGTCTGACAGTGCAGAATGTTTAACTGCAACGGCAGCAGCCTTTCCGGTTGCCGCCTATGTTCAGCTTTCCCTTTCTGTGCCCCCTTGCGCCGCC